AGAGACACAGAAAAGCAAAATAAAGCTCCCTTATACATCTCAGGATGGTTCAGTTTCCATTGTCTGCTCTGTCGCATGTGGCAAAACCAGAAAAAAAGAGAAATATCCTCATACAGAAACATAATGTATGTTCAGATTTGAAAGGATCACCTTTAAAACCTGGGGAATACACAAAAGAGGTTAAGTAAGCTTTTAAGTAAGAATGTGATCAGAAGCATGAGCATTACCTAATCAAGGCACCAAGCAGCATTGACACCCTTACACTGTGATTGAGTGACTTGCTGTCTTCAAACACAAATTGCAGTAGCCCCAACGGAAAACACTGCAGTAAACTTCCTTACTGTAGTCGAAACTTATGAGTGATGAGTTACAAAAATAGGTTTAGTTAATTAACCATGCCTCAGTGGTTCGTAATGAAAACAGTTCTGTATATTGTAAATATTGTAGAAACTTGTGTGACAAATCGAGTTCTATAGCACAGATTGTAAACGTTTGAGCTAATATCAGAGAAAGAGAGAGAGATCCTTTGTTAGCTCACTTGAGAGTATGTGGATATTCTCTGATTTTACTTTGGCTTCTCCGAGTCTGTTGGAGCAGCTGGTGATCTTCCCAGGACATCTTATTAGATCCAAAATGCTATTTTTAGTGAAAAGGGTAGAGGTTGGGTTCAGAAGATGAAGACTTCTACTGACAAGGCCAAGTTTTGTATCACTTTGTGGAAATCTGGCTAGAGGTGCTAAATTGATTATCACATCACTCAAGCGAACATTAAGCCTGCAATATTTTCTGCACTGCCTATTCAGCCAGGGTAGCAACTTGGATATGCTGGAGCCTGTTGAAGATGATATTGGATAAGAGGCTAAGAACAGGCATTCACATTTCCATATATCTATCCATCCATCCATCCAGTAGGTATTGGGGTGGGGGGTAGGGTCGGGGGTGGGGGGGTATGTATCGTTAGTATTGCAATTTTTTGCATGGCAATATTGTATTGATACAGGATCATCAACTATAAGGGCTCATCACATCTAGTAGAAGGCAATCTTTCTGCAACTAGTTGCACTCTGACTTGGACTGACTGCGGCCACTCTCAAAGAGATTTTCGAAGGTTGGTAAATGATCGCTGCCTAGTTTATAAATGCTGAATGAGTCTTTATCAATGAGTGTAACTCCAGGGGATTTGACTCGATTGACTGTAACTATTTACCAGTGTTAATTGCTGTATTACCAGAAACAGCTTGTCCCTGATTCAAACATAGGCTGGTAACAAACAGTGTCAAATGACAACATTTATGGCAGGTTTTAGTGGCAGTGATGGTTGCTTTACACAACTCAAAAAAAGAAAAACAACTGAAGTGTAACACTAACAAATATAATTTTAAGGATATAATTAGCAGTTGGAAAAAAATTGTAGTATATATTGTTACAGTACTCAGCATATCACAAAATGTTAAAAATGGTAGATTCCCACAGCTACCATCCGTCCATTTTCATTTTAACACTTCATCACAGGGCTAACACAGAGAGACAGACAACCACACACTCTCACATCTGTACTGTTGGCCAATTTAGAATCAGCATTTAAATTAACAATCCTGTCTTTGGTCTGTGGGAGGAAACCAAAGCAAATGGGGAAGTATCATGCTGGCTCATGGACAACATACAGATTGCACCTGTAAGGCCCCAACACCTTCTTGCTGTGAGGTGAAAGTGTTATGCACTGCTCCAACTGTACCACCCACTGGCAGCCATTTATCATGCAAATACAAATAGATGCTATACATAGCACATGTTACAGTTTCAATCAAATGCTAAAACATCACAAGCAGGAGCTGTGCGGTGGAATGCAGTCAAAAGACTGACGTATTTAATGTCAAAAAATGCAAAGAATATTTCAGTATTGCATTGCTTGAGTAAAATACTTAATATGTTTTTTGAAGGTGGGATATTTTGTCATGTACTGCTGGTAACAGCTGGTCTGGAGACTGTGAGATACACTTAACTCTGTATAATAATTTAATGATTCCGCTTTACAGTATTCATTAATCCTTTGTAAACATCATCTACATCATCTACATATTGATATGTGTCATAGTTTGATTATTATGTCTTAAAACCAAGATACAGTTTTGCCATTTACCAGCTCCAGCTTCAATATCTACTAAATATGATTAAAGGACTGTTTCTAAATAATGGGATAAGTATCTCAGTGTAATTACACTATGCATTTTTAGATTCAGTTCTCTTTTTATGTTGACTCGGTTGCTCATAAACCCCATTGTGGATGAAAGGGAGAGATATTGTCAAGGATTCAAACATTCACCTCAGAGAGAAGTTTAATCTAACAGAGATGAAAAAAGTTAGAAAGACGAGATCAAAGCAACTTTTTTTTAACATCAAACTCATAAGCTTGCTGCCTTTTGTGATTCATTTTATAGCGCTAGATATTTTGTAGCGGCCTCCTTTGTGTAGGCTGATTTTACCTTTTCCTTTGTGACATTGCATAAAGTGCCCTGATGGTTTTTATTATAATTGGAACAGGCAGTTTCATTTCAGCCTCGCAGGGGGTGAACTCACCCAATTTCACTGAAGAAAATCACCAGGTAATACATGATGTGACAGCATTGTTTCAGAGCTTCCTCAAAGCCATAAAATTTATATTCTCCTAGATGAACGAAATAGTTAGCGGTAAGGAAATGGCTTTGATCTTACATGCACATGCGCTCATATTTTCCTGTGAAGCTGAAGAAATATTTTTTAAACTTCTACATTAGGCTTCTATTACACAGAAGAATTAAAAACACTTTATATTTGACATAAAGTGTGTTTTTATGAAAATATACACATTTGTCAAACATTTTTTGGAGTACTATTGCATACGGGGGCTGTCTGTGAGTGCATTGTGGATTTGAAAGCATGTGTATCATTGCTGGGTGGCTTTGTGTTTGCTTCTCTAAGTGCATATGTTCTCTCTCCTGGAAAAAAGTGAGTAAATTAAGCCTGTTTTACTGCCTAAAGCATGTCGATTCTCTTCAGTGTGAATGAGTGGGTCTGTATTTAATTGAGCTTCCGTGAAAAACCTTGTCTGTGCGGTAATGCTCGTGGGCATCAGCTTGCACCATGACCCTGGAACAGAAGTATACTCTTGTGACTTTGAACCTCTTTCAAAGTTTTATTACTGCCAGCGTAAATATATATATATGGGTTTGCTATTTGCCTTGAAGGATGAAACTCTGAATGCACACCCCAGACCTCTACCTTATTTGTTTATAGTAAGAGAAATGAAAATTTTTGTGATACTTCTGTGTCATTGTCCTTCTGTGTCATTGAACAGTCTGATATGTTGACACAAGTCATGCTGTTTATATTATAACATCGTGGTAAAGGTTGATCACGAGAGCTGCTTCCTGTCTTCCCTTTCTTAGGAACTGAATGAAATCCCTACATATGTAATGCCATTTGTCATTTTTTAAGAATGTGTCCGCCGTCCACTGAAGCTCGCCAATGGCATCCATCTTTGGCTAATGGCTGTGAACAAGACAGTTCCAGTTGGCTTTGTTCATCTCACTTTGTCATCATCTTCATGCTCATCGTTTCTGTGCTGAATTCACCAGTTAAATGGCTCCAGTCTTGTCGAGCAGTAGCTCCATGCTTGAAGGGAGGTTTCAAAGTACAAAAAAGTTCCATCTCTTCACCATAAAGTGAAGAGCGCTGGTTGGAAGTCAATTTCTGCAAGGCCAAAGTCATTTTTAAAAGTGCTAGAAGCACAGTGTGGAGCGAGGCGTGCTGGAAATGGTAACATATGACCAACCATTCTCCTCCTATGGAACCGTTTTGATAAACTGTGTGTGCTGTCGTGCTTTGTGTGAGTGTAGATCTTCACCACACATATAGAAAATCCCTTGCACATCTACTCAGGGTTTTTTGTCTCTGTCACAAAATGAAGGATGTGCTCAGGTAGATATGTGACTGTGTGACTAATCTTCAGTATAGAAGCAAATAGTCCGAGACACTGCGTATGCATTAATTCCAGAAAAAAAATCATTTTCTCTGAATGAGACAACTTTAAAGATGCTTGGCTCAAACGCACTGGGGGTCTCTCTGTTTTTCATTTATGTGCAAATACACTCATGTTTCAACATTTCCACCCTAAATGATCAAAAAAAAGAAGAAAAAAAGGCCTGAGCCAGTTAGGTGCGATAAGAACATTTCCATCTGTCTCTCACAAAAGGAGCCAGCTGAGAGCAATAGCCTGCTTCACCAACATGAGATTGTATTGTTGTGATAAAAGGTTTTTTGAATGCAGACAACACAGACTCGTTTTTAACTCCTTCCTTTCGCCCCCACTAACCACATATGTCTATTAAAACTTAGGGGTAATGTGCGAATATCTACGGTCGAGCATAAAATGAAAATGTGCTATTATTGTGACAAAACTAGCAGCTTTAAAATTGTCTAATTATTGTGACTAAACTAGCAGCTTTAAAATTAAACTTCAGTCCTGTCATGTCCCTGCTGATATCTGACAGTTTGCTTCGAGCATCTGCATCAGCTGTGCGGCTTTTATTCCAGTAGTTTCCCGTTCTCCCTCTTCTGCTCAACGGAGAGGGGATTACAGCAGCATCACTCAGACCGTGTCTCTGCTGAAATCCATCTATCAACCCTCTCCCTGAGCAATATTTCTGTATTGCTCCCAAGTGGGAAGATCAAATATTTGGTATTGCACAGTGAAATCCATTCAAAGGTTCTTAGCTCACTCCTTAATCCCCGGAAGAGTTTCTTTTTCTCTATAAAGCCAATTATTTCACATCAGATCAAAGGCATTTATTTATCATTTACAGCGGATAATCTGAAGGTACTACAACTACCCATTCGCTCACGTATCAGACAGAGAGATGCACAGACACAGGAGTAATTCCATACTTTTCTTTTCCTGAAACCTAATTTTTAATGATTCCCTGCTTCACTTCTTTCTCTTCTACTTCTTTGCTCCTTCGCAGTTTCCAGTGGATGGTACTGTTCACTCGGGCTGTCTCCGGCATGCCGATGGCACGACAGCATCACCAGGCCAGTGTGCCCACAACAAGCTGGATCCTGGTTTTGGCTCTGTTTCTCACTCTACAGGTGAATTAAAAAAATTTTTCCTGTTGGTTTCTTTATTTGTTCTGTTTTCTGTTTTTTTCTTTTCTTTTAATGAGTAGCACTGTTTTTTCACATTCATTGTTTATTTCCACTGAACTATTATTGGCAGTAATGTTAATCACTTGATTCTGGGCACAAATCCACTGAAATCCTGCCCTGGCCAGTTTGACTATCGAGAAGAAATAATGAGTTCGACTGCTTGTATTTCAGTTTGTTCCAGTTTCTTCTAGAAAGTAGACTGTTTCAGTTATTAAACTCAAAGTTTCACAGTTGACTGTCTTAGTTAATGTTGTGTTTGTCGAGCTTTCTGCTCCTGCGTTACACTTGTGCAGTTTTCTGTAATAAACAACAAAAAGAGGTTGAAATTCTCAGTGAAAGAGGTAGAAAGAGTGCGACAAAAGCAAGCTCCTCTTTTTCTTTTTTCCTTGACAGTGACAGCTGTCCCTGACATCTGCAGCTAGCTACCTAATTAAGCTAATGTTCTCTCCACCAGTTAGTAACTGACATCTTTTTTCCTTTCTCAGATTTCTTTTTAAAGAAAATGCTTTTTTGTATTTATTTGAGAGCTACAAACACAATACAGTGTTCAAGGATGAGGCTAAACCTGTATGGTCAAGTAAAAAGTAGGCATACTCGACAACATTTGACAACCTCCCCTGTACTCTCAATGAGTTTTCACAGTTCACTATATGTCAAAAAAGATATGGTTTGACAACCATTAGAACAGATTGCTGGTTTTTCGAAGGGTAGCCCTAATAAGCTGTATAGGCAGAGATCATATTCACTAACTTAGAACAGAATAGAATAAAATAGAATTATGGGACAGGTATCGAAGGGGAAAAAACTTAAGACATGTTGCTATCATTCTTCAGTAAAGATGTAAGACATGTTCCAGTAATAGCTGTTTGATTTGTATTACCAAGATATGTTTTGTCAAACAGTTTGCTTTCTTTTAATTCTGTCCACTTGTTAAGTTTGACATCATTAGCTATGTCTGGGTACAAACCCTCCTTCAGTTCAGTAATAACCGAGATACAGAGGCACTGGGAAAGTGGTCCAAATTCTTTCAACTTCAATAAAATCATCAGTGTGGCTGTTCTGCCAGGTGTAACAATAAATTTTAACAGCATCGATGAAAAAGAGGATTTAGGAGTTTTAGTTAGCAGGACGTTAGCTTGCTAGTTTCAGTACAAAGATAATACACCATGTTCTGACCGTTGGTGTTCCTAAAAAGCTAAAATGTACAGCTCTTCTACAAGTTTGGATGTAAACAAAGACAAAAGACTAAATAGCAGGGTTAGTGGTTGGGCAAGTTTACATATAATGATACCTAGTGGCTAGCTGCAGAGCTATCATTAGGCTAATATAAACACTATAGCGCAGGGAACATATAACATTTTACCTCAATAAAATTTAATGCTTAGGGTTTCTGATGGGCAGAGACACGATCATGTGGGAAACTTCAGCCAAGAGAGCATCTGAGATTATCAGTCCATAACATGGGAATTGAAATATTAGACTGAGAGTGATTTTTTTTTTAAATGTTTTAAAAAATTTGATGTGAGCTTTTAGAATGTAGCTTAAAGGTGTGCTGCACATGGACAGGGATAATAAAAAGGAAGGTCACTAATTATTTTGAGGGGATCTGTTTCATTAAATAAGACAAGACACTAAGCAGCACAGCACAATAAAAAGAAGACAGCCTCAGTCAACGTATAGCTGACTTGGACTGGGGCTGATGTGCCACCACTTAACAAGCAGATAGATGTATACACTTTTCTGAGAAGTGTCTATGCTTTTGGCAAATGCACTCTGTGACTCTTAAATAATGGTCAAGTTGAAATAAACTATAGATAGAAAAGTAATCACCAAAAACTTACTAACATGTAGTCTGTATATAACCAGTTATTGTGGGCCAATATTACTGGCCACTATTAGCTATTTGCCAATATGTTACAACGTGTTGCTGTTGCAGTTAGGCCACCAGAGGACACTTTGCAACCTGCCTGTTGGCAAATCGCCACAACTACCAGCTGATAACAGATGTTAGTGAAATCCTAAAAATCCTATATTATCAAGCTATAGCTAATAGCATGATAGTGTGATAGCACTGACAAAAATATTAGTTTATTGATTAATTTGCTACAGCAGAATATATACAGGTGCACAGCTACTGTGCCATGTGGAAACATTTTGAGAAATATATGCTACATACTGTACCATTTGCTGTGCTACTGAGGGAATGAGTTTAACAAACAGTTAATTGTGTAGATAGGTGCAGTTACTCTATACTAAGAGCTCATCCAGTAGAGTTCAAATGTACCTGCTTCAGGCTGTATTTTTTTTCTTATCATTCCCTTTCTGCTTCAAATATTACTTCTTTATTAAATGTCAGTAATTCTCCAAATTCTCTACCTCACACGCCGGGAGTGCAAGCTGAAAACACTAAACTGTCACCACAGAATTTTGAAAATGACCCAATTTTTTCATGTGAAAATTGTTTTGTCAGTGTTGCAGCCAGTGAGAAAATCTTTCATATACTGTATATTAGTGTCATCTTGTTTTGTGTCCCCTGGGTTCCTCTGAGTTTTCACTCTATCATTTTGTAAACAGAAGGTATCAGAAAAAAACAATTGGAAGCCTCTGAGTACAAACCACGTGTCCTGGTTTTTATTTTTTTGTTTCATTTTGTGTCTCACTCCAGGGTGCCGCTCATGCTGCTCCATCAGGAAACAACAGGCTGGTTCGTACCACCAGAGTGAGGAGGCAGACCCCAGGGGGGGATCTGCCCCCCTCCGACTCCTCAGCCAACCAGACCCTGCGGGAGCAACCTTTGGTCTTTAACCATGTCTATAACATTAACGTACCCTTGGAGTCTCTATGCTCTGTTGACTTGGACACCTCTGCACCATCAGGCCCAGGGGATGGTGAGGATCGATTCCTGGTCCTGCGCGTGCGCGCGCACACACACACACACACACAC